TGGGTGCCACAGATCGAGGAGAGAAGGTTCCTGGGGGGTCGCGACGCCGGGGTCCCTGTCTCCGTGGTCTAGGGCCCTCCTCGGTTGGTCCGGCAGTCCCACCAGGGATAGTCGCCGGCCAGCCCCCGACTCCTCCCACGGCGCGGGCTCCGTGGGACCCGGGTGGGGACTTGTCTGCAGAAACGATGGGGCTCGCGGGCCGGCACCGGCTCCGGGAAGGCTGCTTGCGCAGAGCTGACACTGACAACACGGCCGGCCCCCCGCCCCCACCCTCCCTTAAAGGAGCCGCACCCGCGCGGGGCGGGGCTTAGCTAGCCAGGCGCTCCAGCGCTGGGAAGAGGGTGGGAGGACCAGTAGAAAAGGGAAGAGGCTCCCGGGTGGAAAATAGGCGGGATCTTTAACTACCCCGCCCCATCCTGGAACCGGGGGTACTCCCGCTCCCCCAGGCTCAAGGCAAGAGTAGGCAGGAGTAACTTCACTCACCTGAGAAGCCGCCTCTGCTTTCCCCTACGCTGCTTAGCTTTCTATAGTTTGGATGCCTGTGGGGTTAAGGAGGTGACCCCTGTGGATAGCATCGACCCCTTCTCCTAACATTCCCAGGCTCAGCAGCTTCTTGGTTCCCATGTCCTGGCAGAAGCTAGACCCGGGGTAAGTGGGTGCAGAGCTTCCCTCCTACATAGGAGTGCCTGGCAGAGGTCCAGCTGATACCGACCAGAGAGAAAGCAGAACCTGAACCTGGTAGAGGTGGAGAATAGAACATGGACTTTTGAACCCCCTCCTCCACCCCCATCCCCTGGAACCAGGACCCAGGGACACCCTGTTAACCTCCTTGCTCCTGTGGGTTTGTTCTGGAGATATTTCCCAAGCCTGAGGCTCCTTCTGTTTTTAAAAATAATTTATTTCCATAGTAACAGCTCCTGCCTATGGAGCACGTGTAGAGGGGGTGGTAATGAGGAGGGAGCTGGCAATGTAACAGTGGACTATCAATAGATTCAGCCAGAAGACCCCACCATTCAAATATGTGCTATCTCAGCAAACACCCAAAAAATGATGTTATAGGTACACTCTGGCCTCTGGATTCATTCTTTTCCCTAGATTTAAGGGCATGGATTCCATCCCTGTAGACAGAGGCTTATCATTGCTTTCTGGAGGCAGGGGAATGAAATTCCTACAAAAGTATTCAAAGGAATCCCCATTCCCCAAGATGCCCTTCTTTTCCGTATACATATGGCAAGGTCTTCCTTAAAGAGGTAAACAGGAAGGTGTTAACTCTCTCTCTCCCATATCCAGTCATTAGTCTGAGCAATTAGTTCATGGGAGTAAACAATGTCTTCTGAAGTGTGGAGTTGCAGAGCTAGGCAGAACCTGGCAGGTCAACAACAGGGTACCTGAGCCAGAGGAGGTGGTGGGAAAGCCTGGGGCACTCCCAGATTTCCCTGTAAGGGATGGGGGTGATGGGGTGACCTTGTTTTGGGCCCTATGCCAACAACATGCTCCTCTTCCCCTCTCTCCTCTCTCTCCATGCATCATCACTGGACTCCAAAAACAACAGAGGATTCCAAGAGTGTGGATTTTTAATCTTGAGGGGAGAGGGCATGAAATGAAGGGAGGAGAGAACTCAGGGATGCAGAAGGAAGCTGTCAGTGGGCAGACCAACTAGGGCTCGGGAGCAGGTTATGTGGGAAGTTGTCCAGGTGATTTCACAATGAAGACCCTCTTCCCCCAAGAACCCTTCTTCAGTATTCATCTCAGTTCTCCGAGTTCTTGGGTTTATTTCAACTCCTCCACTGAGCACTTGGTCCTTTGCTGCCAGATACTGCTTCACAATTTCAGTCTTATGTGAGTTTCCTTAGTTAGTCCTCCCAGTCTTCCATCGGCTTGTTACTTAGACCTCTAGCACTTATTTCATTCTCCCTTGTAGTCTAGCTGGTTGTTTGTATGTCTGTTTTCCCATTCACCAGAGAACTGCTTGAGAGTGGGGACCCTGTCTTATGCATCTCTCTTCCCAAGTATTCAATCAAGGTGCTTTAATATGATGAAGACTCCTTGGGAGAAACAAATGCATTTATGTCACTTTGTGTCCCCACAGTACTGCAGAGTTTTCCATGCACATAGTAGGGATTAGCAAATTCTTTGTAATTTTAAGAAGTCTAACAGAAAATATTACAATTTACAACACAGAATTTCTATATTGTATAGAATATATTCTACATCTCTATCTTTTGCAAACTCATTCATGTCATCCCAATGGGACCAGAGATCTTGGGGCTTCCTTTCAGCTAACAATGATAGGAGAGAAGCAGGAAGAAATGGAAAAGAGTAATTCAGCTGCCTGGAAAGAGCCACAGATATGGTCCTGCAAGTGTCACAGCTGCAGACTCTCCAAAGTTGTCTCATGGACTTTTTAGGCAATGTGAAACATTTATGGGACAGGCTTTGTCAGGCAATCACACTTAACAGAGCATTGGCCTTGCCCAATGGGAGGCACTCAGGGCTCCCTAGTAGGGGATTCACATCTCAAACATTGCTCAGCCCAAGAAACCAGCTGAAGCCATTGACAACTCACCTGATCTGTAAGCCCTAGGACCAGCTCCAGCCTTCAGGCAAATGCTTTGAACTTGTACTAGGACAGGCACAAAATTTCAAGTGTGGCCAGGTCATGTGTTTGTTTCTCCTGGTGAGTCTGGGAATCAACTGTGCATTTACTATAATGGGAACAAAAATATTCAGATTACACAACAAGTATCCAAGTAACCATGTTGATGGTAACATATGTGTGGACGATGAGTCCCCAGTGTCTTTTTTAGACCAAGTCCCCCACCCTCGTCCAGCAGGGATTGTTGGGGAGGGTTAATGATCTCTGGAGAAGAAAGAGACAAAGGTTCTCAATGCCAGGCAGAGAAGTAAGATTTATTAGGATTGGCTTCCTAATAAAACAGGAAATAGATGCAGACTGTTCCTCAGACCTTCAGGGAGTTTCAGCCTGCTCCTGATCCATAAGATAACTGAATGTGCCTCTGCTGGGGCTCCCACAAGCTCCTTCTTTCCACCTGCTTCTGGAGTCTTACTTTCCCTGTTCAGAAGACCCTTCCATCCTTGCCACCTACTGAAATCTTTGGAGATACTACTCTTCCTCAAGGTCTTCTCTTCCCCTGGTCACAACTAATTGCTCCCTCCATGCACTCCTATTGCCCTCTGTACCTCTTTCAGATCCAGACTCATTATGTGTGATGATGCCTTGTATACAGATATCTGTGTGTCCTTAGCACCATGGGGACACCCTGTGCAACAGAAAACACTTGCCTTTAGGGAATTTCCAGTCAAAGAGGCACATTTGCGCACTCATGCACATCCACAAATGCACAGAAAAACAATACTAGTGGGATAAGTACTGGAAATTTGGTGGAATACTATTATCAAGTAATTTTGGGATTACTTTATATATATAAAATATTTTATACATATATGGTTTTGTGTTGTTAATTAGAGCGGCCTTTGAGTAGAAAGGACATTCACACCTGGTTTTGAGACAGGAGGGGCTATCTTTGGCCTAAAAAGAGTCAACCCAACCCTGACTCCTGGCGCATACTCAAAAGAGTAGACTGGGGGAGGGTATAGCTCAGTGGTAGAGTGCATGTTTATCATGTACAAGGTCCTGGGTTCAATCCCCAGTACTTTCATTATAAATAAATAAATAAATAAACTCAATTACCTCCCGCTTCTCAAAACTATCTCCAGTACTTCCATTATAAACCAACCAACCAACCAACCAACCAACCTAATCCCCCTCCCCCTTCCCAAAACAAAACAAGAGAGTAGACAAAGTGTCAGCATTCTTGAGTCCTCTCCAACTACCTGGTGATGATTTCCGCTCTCAGGAATGGAAATCACTTGCCACCTAAGAGCCTGTAGGTGCATGAAAAAGAATGAATATGCTGGTGAACTGTTATTTGCAAGAAACAGGAGCACAAACAAAAGGCATCTGTAATCTGGAGGAAGAAACCTGAATGGGAATTCCTCAGGCTTACAGGAAGCCACTTGTGAGTCTGGTTCTCCAACTTCCTTAGCTCTTCCCAGCGTTGCCTCAGCCTAACCCCCTCGGTCTGGCTACTTGACACAGTGCAATGATCCAGGACCAAGGAGAGTCAGGTACAGGGTTAAATTCAATACCTGAAGGCACTCCCAGCCCCATCAGTGGTGAAGTGCCCCCGCTGAGTTGCCCGGCAACTAACTGCTACTGCGGGGGCGGAAGATGGGTGGGATGATGATTGAAAAGTACCTGGATCAAGAACACGGGAAAACATGGAGTGGGATGGGTCTCTTTTAAAATATACATCATCTTCCAAATTGTAGCTGCGTTTCCGGGAACTGAGTTGTGTTTTTACCTTGGTTTCCGACTATGTTAGCAACGGGTTTTCTACAAAGAGCAGGCGCTTCTCCACATCCTCACCCCTCCTGCCCTCCCCATTGCATCCAGTAGCCATCTTCCCAGCTCCAGAGGCGTCCCAGAGTAAACTCGGGGTACTGCCCCTTTAAACGTGACTAATGGAGGCTGACGGAGCTAAACCTGACGTGGAACCGAGAGTAAGCGGCGTCAGACACGTGGTACAAGGAAGCATTCATCTTGGAACCGGGCAGGGAGTTTTTCCGCTTTGGGCTGTACATCTTTAATATGACCTTAGGAAAGTATCCGCTTCTGTTCGTCCTTTGAAAATTGTGCTCCCAATCCCCTCGTGATGACTCAACTCTCGTATAAACGATATAGCGTAAAATCATACTTATGTTTCCATTCTTATGCCCATACTAAAAATGGCCGCCACTTTCCATAAGGATAGTTGCCTTGCGAACAAGATCCGGGCGGAAACAGTGGGTAGGCAGATGCAGTGGGGCAGAGCCAAGGTTGCTTTATAGAAGCTTGCGGGACAAACGAGGACGGCTCAGATCAGAGTTGCTGTGTTTTGCTCAGGCTACTGTGGGAAGACCCAGCCTGTGGGAAGCGGCCGCTCCTTACTGCTGGGGGCTCAGGGCTTCTGCCTGGCTTACCCGTTAGCCAAGGAGACAGCAGAACGGGTCCCCTAGCCGGTCACCATGTGGGCCTTCCCGGAGTTGCCGATGCCGCTGTTGGTGAATTTGATCGGCTCGCTTCTGGGGTTTGTGGCCACACTCACCCTCATTCCTGCCTTCCGTGGCCACTTCATCGCCGCGCGCCTCTGCGGTCAGGACCTCAACAAAACCAGCCGGCAGCAAATGTGAGGGGGCTGCGCTCTGGTCTGGGGCCGGGGGCAGGAGCTGGGGAAGGGTTGGGCAGGGGCGAGGACTGGAGCGCTTGACTGCGCGCTGAGGGAGATGGAGCGCTAACCTAGCAGCTAGTCGGGGACTCTGGTGGGTGAAAGGCAGATCTGCTTAGCATTGGGGTAGGGATGTGGGCGGGAAGGTGGGACCCTTGGGAGTATCTGGGAATCCAGTAGTGGTGCCCTTCCCCGTCCCCAAGTTAGGTTACTGTACTGCTTGCACTAGTGTGTGACCACGCCCCCTCTCCTCTTCCCCCTCCACCCGGCTTGCTGCTGGGCCACAGCCCAGAGTCCCAGGGAGTGATCAGCGGTGCTGTTTTCCTTATCATCCTCTTCTGCTTCATCCCTTTCCCTTTCCTGAACTGCTTTGTGGAGGAGCAGTGTAAAGCCTTCCCCCACCATGAAGTAAGTGGGTTAGTGAGGGCGGCTGGCTGGGGCTGGGAGCTGCGAGCTACCTGAGTTGAGGTTACTTGGGTTTGGAGGGAACGGCTGAGAACGAAGAAAAGACGGGAATTCTTGAAAGGTTAAGTGGAAGTAGGCTGGAGCTGTGACCTGCCGGAGCCTCCCCCAGTTTGTGGCCCTGATAGGTGCGCTCCTTGCCATCTGCTGCATGATTTTCCTGGGCTTCGCCGATGATGTCCTGAATCTGCGCTGGCGCCATAAGCTACTGCTGCCCACAGCTGCCTCACTACCTCTCCTCATGGTCTATTTCACCAACTTTGGCAACACAACTGTTGTGGTACCCAAGCCCTTCCGCCCAATTCTTGGTCTGCATCTGGACTTGGGTGAGTAGCCCTACCACTACCGCCCCTGTGGCCCCTACTCTGGGCACCCTTGCCCTGTGAGATACCCAGCAGAACATCCTTCCTAGTGCTCCACTTTCTCCTCCAAGTGTCTCTGGTCCGTGTGTCTCTTTAGATCCTTTTGTTGGCCCTTCATCCGATCCTTTATCTCACCATTTTCCTCAGAAGGATATCCTTAAATTCTCCATTCTACAGGTGGCACTACTTCTTTTCTTATTGTTTTCTCCCCCCAGGGATCCTGTACTATGTCTACATGGGGCTGCTGGCAGTGTTTTGTACCAATGCCATCAATATTCTAGCAGGAATTAATGGCCTAGAGGCTGGCCAGTCACTAGTCATTTCTGCTTCCATCATCATCTTCAACCTGGTGGAGCTGGAAGGTAGGTGGGATTGGACTGGGGTAAGTATATAAGTCTGAGTGTTAATAAGGAAGTTGCCTGATAGCTGGCTTTGAGGAATTCAGAAAAAGAGCAAAATGTGAGTAATTACAGAAGATAAAGGAAGTTATTTACTTTGCAAATAACAACTAAGATTTATTAAATGTGAGAAAGAAAAATAGCAACCCTTATTTGTAAAGGGATTGGTACTAATAGGTAGGCCTTGGTCTTCTCCTATTGAACATAAATAATTTTGTAGAACCCCCAAATCAGGCAGGGTCACTCTGTGACCATGATAGACTAACTAAAAAACCAGACCTCTCTTTGGGCTAACATGAGTAATTGCTGCTTCCTTTGGATGACAACTCAAGTTCCTCCCGCTTCTTGGATAAAAATTAAGATGCTAAGGGGAGGAAGGTATAGCTCAGTGGTAGAGTACATTCCTAGCATGCATGAGGTCCTGGGTTCAATCCGCAGTACCTCCATTAAAATAAATAAATAAAGCTAATTACCTCTCCTCTAACAAAACAAAACAAAGTTATTAAGATGCCCAATCATAGCATTACCCTTGCTGACAGCACCCAGTCACTCTGCCTCCCTGCATCCTCCCCAGAATTACTTAAAATAAATCCTATGACAAGTCTTTCTAATGCCTCCTTGCTGAGGCATCCCGTGGTTCCTCATGGTGTGTGGGTTCTCAAATCTCCCCTGTTACAAGTCAGTAAACCCAGCTTTGACTGTAGGCCTGTTTCTGGTGGTCTTTGGCTGATGGACTCCATAAGTACTTATTAAAGCTATGCACTTTAAAAATGTGCTTTCACTTTAAAATTTGTAACAGCTCTATGTGGCAGGTGTTTTCATCATCCTTTTTTCAAAGGTAGGAAACTGAGGCTCAAGTTAAACGTGTCATGATCAAAGTCACACAGTTAGGAAGTAAAGCTAGTATTCAAATCTAGATCTGAATGGTCTAAACCAAATGGAAGACAGTAACTAGTTTGGGAAGGGGTCATGAATGAGGTGAAATATTGAGAATTGCCTGGTAGTGAGTTCTTGAAACTTGGGAGAGGTGGACAATACAGTTTGGGACAGAACTTAGGGACAAACAAAAGTAGGACCACGATGTGCAGGGGAAATGGCTATCAACTATTCCTTCTTTCTTTTTCCCCTGCTTCCAAAGGTGATTATCGGGATGATCATGTCTTTTCCCTCTACTTCATGATACCCTTTTTTTTCACCACTTTGGGATTGCTCTACCATAACTGGTAAGTAGGCCTGTGGACGGGGGACAGCTGTTTGAACATGTGGCAAGTATGGTCCTCATTGTGACCATCTCCCAATGGTGAAGCTGAACCTGTGCATCCCTGTACTGTTGTCTGGGTCTTCAGTTGGTAATATTCTTAAATTGCTCTCTACCCAGCAGTATCTGGGGGCAGGTGCTGTGGAGCCCCCAGGAATAGATGGACTCAGGGCCTTGAGTCCTGGAGAGTTGCTGGGAGAACTGGAATCTCCTCTGAACTAGAACTAGGGTCAGGGCTAGCCCAGTGCCCAGTGTGTGTGATATGAGAGAAAGGACTGGTAATGCCTCTTGCCACTGGCTCAGATCCTCTCCCCCACACAGGTACCCATCACGGGTGTTTGTGGGAGATACCTTCTGTTACTTTGCTGGCATGACCTTTGCCGTGGTGGGCATCTTGGGACACTTCAGCAAGACCATGCTACTCTTCTTCATGCCTCAGGTGTTCAACTTCCTCTACTCACTGCCTCAGCTCCTGCATATCATCCCCTGCCCTCGCCACCGTATTCCCAGGTAGCCGATTTGGGGCTTGAAAGGGGCATCATAGCTTTTTCACTTGGGACACTTAAAGCCAGCCTTACACATTCGCTGGGTAGAGGGAGTGGACCCAAGGAAGGGCTAACTCTTTCCATGTGGTTAGCCCTTTATAAATTACAGAGCACATTTATTTGCACGATCTCATTTAATGTTCACAGCAGCTCTGATCACACAGAAGCAAGCAACAGAGCCAGAAATAGATCTCAAGGTGTTTGACTCCACATTCAGTGCTCTTCCTATTAATTAACCACAGTGAGGAGAGTTCTTTGAGTAGTGGCTCAGTCACATGAAGCTCTCTTCTCCTGCAGACTCAATACCAACACAGGCAAACTGGAGATGAGCTATTCCAAGTTCAAGACCAAGAGCCTCTCTTTCTTGGGCACCTTTATTCTAAAGGTAACAGGGTAACAAGGAGGTAAGGCTCTAGGCTACCATTCTGAATTCAGGGAATGGGGAACCTAGGCCTGCATCAGATCCAAGTGGAATGTGGAAGCATTAAGCAGATCACCATTCCTGGAGCATAGGTATTAGCTGAAGTTCTGTCCACTTCTGGTCCCTCCAGGTAGCAGAGAGCCTCCGGCTAGTGTCAGTGCGCCAGAGTGAGAATGAGGATGGTGCCTTCACTGAGTGTAACAACATGACACTCATCAACTTGCTACTTAAAGTCTTTGGGCCTATGCATGAGAGAAACCTCACCCTGTTCCTGCTGCTACTACAGGTGCAGTGCTGTTGGGAACAGGGTTTACACCTCCTTGCATCCCTTCATCTATGGTTCTGACTCTAGTTTGTTTCTCCTTGCAGGTCGTGGGCAGTGCTGTTACCTTCTCCATTCGGTACCAGCTTGTCCGACTCTTCTATGATGTCTGATCATTGCCCTTTGCTTCATAGTCTCCAAGGTTCCTGACTCAGGCCCACTGACCTCTTCTGGACCAAGACTGCCTCCTGGCCCAGGCTTCTCCCACCCTTCATTCTCCTCCTTTTGTCCTCAGCATTTACTGTCCCCTAGGATTATTACCGTCCTGGGCCTTTCTTGCCCTCTAATGACTGTTGATTGGACTTTGCCTATGGCTTTTCTCAACTTGCCACTCTCCCTCTCCATCCCATCCTTGCAGCCTCCTAAGGTGGGCTACTGTAGCTTTTACGCAGGAACAACTCTGACACTCAAGGACTATGCTGGACCTGGGGACAGAAACCTGGCTAGGGATAGGGACACAGGTTCGAAGGTGATGACTTGACATTTGCCTATAAATTAAGAATTCTGATGATTAAGAACAGACTCAGGGGCCAGGTGCTCCCAGTGGTGACAATAAAGTGTTGTCATTTTCTTATTGTTGTTTCTGCAGGTGTATTTCCTATATGGGCGGGTTGATTGAGTCATTTCCTCCAAGAGGATGCCTTGCTCTCTGCTCCATCCTTTTTCTTTCAGTACGTCAGGCCCCTTATAGCAGGAATTGAACAGGAAGAACTAAGACCAGACACAACATGTTGAATAAATATTGAAATCTTGCTTCTTGGGTGGCATAGAGGGCCATAAGATTGGCGTTACCTGGTCTCTGGTCTGGGGCCGAACTTACAAGGGGTCTCATTCCTTCCATTTTTCACTCTGTCTTTGCCGAACAAGAGGGAGTGACCAGACCTGGAAGGGGTGGCAGAGGTAGATTTAGTGTTGACCCGTTTCCTTTAAAAATCCTGGGCCTGCACAGACTTGCCAGAGGCTCTGGAAGTGGCTTCAGACTCCACCCTCTTTGTCTTCCGGTTCTGGTCGCCAGCTGTAGCATTTAAATCTGGCGCGCTTCACATGGATTGGCTACACCCGGGAGTGGTTAGCTGTCTGCCAGCAGCTCCTCCTCGCCTTTTTCCCCGGGCAAAAGGTTTTCAAATTCGGCCAATCGGCGGGCGCGTTCCTTCAGCCGAAGCGCGTCACCGAAGGGTTAACTGCAGCCAACCGGAGGCGGGTATTAGAGAAAAGAGCCAATCAAGAGGGCGCAGGGGGTGTGCCCTGGGGGCTTATAAGTGCGGCCCCGGGGCGCGCGCGACGGCAGTTGGACTGCGGCGGCCGGCTGTTCTTTATCCTTGCGAGGCATCCACCTCACCGCTTCTCTACCTCGCGCAGCATGTCGGGCCGCGGCAAGACCGGCGGCAAGGCCCGCGCCAAGGCCAAGTCGCGCTCG